GAAAAAATTTGTTTGCAATAACTAAATTTAATTGAGACACATTTTTCTAGTTCACTATATTGAACTCTCCGTTTTTTTCAAAGGAAATTTGTGGGAAAGTTATTGGTTCGAGCAGAAATGGGTCACACACACGCTAATCCACTCCTAATAGTCGCACCATCTAATTTTTTTATTTTTAAAGATGTGGTGGGCGTTTCTTCATTGGCCTTAGCCTCGACCTCAGCCTCTTCTTACCTGTAATCCACCGTGGGGTTTGCACTCGGTTTGTAAATGGCCCTGAGTACTTATCGATTCGGATACACGAGAAAATTAATCGATACGATCTGGGGAATACCGAGACTAATGTACTGTTAAAGTATTTCGGTTTGCCTAGGATGTAGAAACGGTAGTTATCCGTATGTATCCGTTAATTTATGAGGCGCGGGTGGAATTCAACATTCTATCCCACCAGAGAATTAATTAATGGACCAATTAATCCCTGAAAAATCTAAAATATTCAATTTCACGTTCATCTCACTCGGTATTCAAATTAATTACAAAATAAATAACATAATCCACATTTTCCTCAATGTCCCGGAGTAAATCCCCCAAAATAATAACCCACAACAATAATCTCCAATTAACCCGTCCACTGAGTTGATAAAAAAATTTCATTAAAAATAAATAAAAACAAAGTGCAACTGGTACCCGCGAAGAATTTCATTTTCCCGGAATGAAATTTTTCTCCAATTCCTAACGTATAAATTTTCAAGAGGAAAAACAATTTTCATTGTGTACTCGGGAGTATAAACACTAGAGTGATCAGGTGTGGCATATGGCATGGGTGTTGGGAGAGACAAAAAATGAGAAATATATAAGTCGGATTCATTTGGTTTACGGTGGATTACGAGGCCGTTGTACCAGCAAGAGAGACGAACGTAACTGATGGTACAGAAAAGTACCAGTGGGTAGTTGTCGGGGGGGGAGAGGGGAGAGAAATGTAGTTTGTTGTTTTTTTTTGTATGTGTACGGGAGTGGAGGTCGTTGACCCGTGCACGTGGAGTGCGGCCCAAAGTAGGCCACGTCGTGACATCACGCAAAATCAAAATGGCCGCCGCGTGTGCAGCAGAGAGAGAGAGAGAGAGAGAGAGAGAGAGAAACTCCCACAAAAGCTAGGCCCCTCATTCCCCTGGTCTATCCGGCTCTTCACGTGTGTGTTATTCATATTTCGGTGGATTGTCTGTGAGAAAACACATGGGATGCGTGATGTCTAATTTTATCTCTATTTTCCTTTCTCCGCCTCGTCCATAAATTTGTTTTTCCACTCTCCGCTCTATCCCTGGGAAATGGAAAACCAATTTAATGATTAAAGAATAGGGCCAGATGGAATGACTTTTTCCCCTTGTTCTTGTTTTTCTTATTTTTATCATTTCAACTGCAAGAAGCAATTCTTTTTTTTCATTTTGGTCATTCGGGTGGAATTGCCCGCCCGCATCAGGTTTATAATTTCCACCCTGAATTTTTTAGGATATGAAATTTTAAAGTCTGAAGTAAAGCTCGAATGCTGCAACGAACCTCCCGGATATAATTTTAACGAAGGCAGGTGGAGGAGGCACGTGGCCCAATTCAGGAATAGTGTAGCCACACATATGGAATGGCTTTTTCGTTTTATTTCTTCGTTTCGTTGTTTTATTCAAAAGCACCACTTGGGTTTTTCAAACTATCACCTGGTAAATGCTCGGGTTCTGGGTTCTTTATACTTGTACTTTCGGTTTTCAGGGACACCCCGTTTAATTACTTTTACTCTCGTCGATGTGAAACAGGAACTACGTACGCATTCGATATGTAACACGTGGCATACCAGGAGACAAGGGTCAGTAATGAGTCTAGGGAACAAAATAAAATGCCGTACTGTTATGCGGGCTTTTTCAACCGCTAAAATTACATTCCCCTCTGCCCCTCAACACCCACTGCAACACATTTTTTTTCCTCCATTTATTTTTTGCGTTAATGATAATGAGAGTTACGGGAGGGGGTAATTTCAGGTTGTTCGGGCGATTCTTGACAGAGTTGCGGTAATTGTCGTGTTATTTGCTTCGTGGTGGAGGCAGGGGTGTAATTAACGAGTGTTAATTGTCTGCTAGGGTGGAACGAACAATTTGAGGTCATTAAGCATTCCGTGGGTTCAACAGGAAATTCCAATGTCGACCGAGGGAAATTGAGAGAAGAACTGGTTAAACGTCTGTTAAACATGAAAAATCCCATTTTATCCAGTCTCCGTAAACTTGAGTTCGAATACGACAAATAAAATTCGCAGAGAAATAAATTTTTTATTTAATAAAATTTACTCAAGTCGCCTGGAAAATACTTGGTATAGCTTATGAAAATATTAGTTCATCATGTTTTGCGAGAAAATTAATTAGAATTCAATTCTGTCGCCATCTGGGACTAACTGAAAACCAATTGATAAAAGCAAACAATCGCTCGAGGCACCTTCTTTTCCTCGGGTCCAAAACTGAGACCGAAGAGGAGTCACTAAAGTAGAGGCTCAGTTCTGGGGGTTTGAGTGACCCCAACGGCATTGTAGTACCTCACCCCAAGAGAGAAAGGGCGCCTCATGCACCCCTGATACTTTTGCAACAATTTCGAATTTTTCAATTCCAGTGAATACCTCCTCCATTTTCATGCTCCCCTGATACTTTTTCGAAAATTTTTCATTTCTCAATTTCAGCTATACCTCCTCAAATGTCATGCTGGTGGGGTCACTTAAACCCCCACTGAGCGGCTCAGTTCTGGGGTCGCTCAAACCCCCACTGAGCGGCTCAGTTCTGGGGTCGCTCAAACCCCCACTGAGCGGCGCACCCCAAGAGAAAGAGGGGGCCGCACCCCGAGAGAAAGAGGGGGCCGCACCCAATGGTGGGGTGTCCGCCCGTCAGCCGACTCGGTAACTGCCTCAGTAACAATCCCGCTGTCGGAAGGACCAGTCGATTGAGTGAATTTTATTTTTTGAAAATTTTTAATTTGTCAATTTCACTGAATAATTCCTCGATTTTCATGCTCCCCTGATATTTTTTTGAAAATATGAAATTTTCACATTTCAGTGAATGCCTCCTCAATTGTCATGCTCTCCTGATACTTTTTCAAAAATTTCGAATTTTCAAATTTCAGTGAATACCTCCTCAATTGTCGTGCTCTCCTGATACTTTTTCAAAAATTTCGAATTTTTCTATTTCAGTGAATACCTCCTCAATTGTCGTGCTCTCCTGATACTTTTTCAAAAATTTCGAATTTTTTAATTTCAGCGAATTCCTCCTCAAATGTCATGCTCCCCTGATACTTTTTCAAAAATTTCGAATTTTTCAATTTCAGCGAATGCCTCCTCAATTGTCATGCTCTCCTGATATTTTTTGAAAAATTTTTCATTTCTCAATTTCAGCTATACCTCCTCAAATGTCATGCTGGTGGGGTCACTTAAACCCCCACTGAGCAGCTCAGTTCTGGGGTCACTCAAACCCCCACTGAGCGGCGCACCCCAAGAGAAAGAGGGGGCCGCACCCAATGGTGGGGTGTCCGCCCGTCGGCCGACTCCGGTAACTGCCGCAGTAACAATCCCGCTGTCGGAAGGACCAGTCGATTGGGTGAATTTTATTTTTTGAAAATTTTTAATTTGTCAATTTCACTGAATAACTCCTCGATTTTCATGCTCCCCTGATATTTTTTTCGAAAATATGAAATTTTCACATTTCAGTGAATACCTCCTCAATTGTCATGCTCTCCTGATACTTTTTC